CTCATGTACTGCACTGTAAACATACTAGGAGTAGCAGTGTGTCTGTGTATCTGTGTGGATTCCAATCACTTGCACCCCAGCAGCTGTGAAATAGAATTCAGCATTAATAAAAATAAATATTTCTCTGCACCCTTGGTCTGTATGCTCTGGTGCAGATATCTGACAAGCTAAAAAAAAAAAAAAAAAAAAAAATTACATGGGAGGGGGAACTCTGTAACGTTCATCTCAGAGTTCCAAGCCATGATGACACTTCCTTGAGTGCTTTTATTAATTGATTTATATTTTTAGATATAATGTATCTGTAGATCTGATGAACCCATCACAATCATAGAATTAAAAAAAAAACTCTAGCATATTCTTGGCATATGGTAAAATGTTGCTAAAAACACACACTTTAAAAAAAAAAAAAAATTATTATTGGTATTTATATAGCGCCAAACTATTCCGCAGGGCTTTACAATTTTATGAAAGGGTGGCATTTCAACCATAATTGATGCCATTACAAAATGATACAGGAACAATTGGGAGATGAGGCGCCTACTCAGATGAGCTTACGTTCTAGTCTAGTACCCAACATATAACTCTGTATAGCACCTTTTAAAATGTTAGCAGTAAAAGTGCCTTGGTTCCATATTACTCACTTTTTATAAAGAGCGCATGTTCTGGATTAGGAATGTGCCAGGCCCAAACGTACAATGTGCCCCTGAACCGTAACAGTGATTCTCCTTGCGTTAATTGTAAAGTATAGATTGGGAGCGAGCGGCGTCTTGCAGGCATAAATCTCCCCCAAACAGCTCTTAGCTGATCCCATTTGAATTAATTTTTTGAGGCATTTTTGCTCTTATCTTTACTTGCCTGTGCAGTATTATCACTCTGCTCTGCACTCTTCCCGTGTAAATGGGATTTACTGCATGGCGTGTGCCAGAGTTGTAACCTCCACATGTAACTGCAACTTGAGATAACAGTTGAATTGATCACTTACATGTTTAGAAATGCTAATAGACTTTCTGCAGAATGGAACCCTTCTGCTGTCGCTGTAAAATGCCATCATGCAGAGCTGCCTTGAAAATGACTGTGCATGCAAGCACATTTGTTTGTCTTAACCATAAGTGTCACACAGTTAAAATAGAGCCCAGTGTGTGATTAGGTGACTGTATAAGGGCTTCTTATCTAGTCATTTATCGGGTTTAAATCTCACTCCTTCCTGTAAAATTACATTTATGCCTGTTCAAAAAGGCAGTAGCCTTCAGCAACACCTTCTGTTCTGTAGATACATTTTTGCAATCGCTTTAATATTCCATAATTACAAAGATTTAGGTCTGCATTTAATGTTATGGAATATCGATCTAGAATATCTGCTTGTTTCCTCTGAAAACCTGCTGTTCTGACACTGTTTCTAAGGCTGGTCTTTGACAGCAACTGTGGGGATTCTGTTTTTTTGTGTTTTTCTGAGTGCATGTGCCTGGTTTCAGTCGGGTATTTTGTTATTTAAAACAAATTAGAGAGATAAGTATTGAATTTAAAAAAACATAAGAATTCTAAATAGAAAAGAGCTGTACTGAAAAGTAATTAAATTACATCATGACCATGACTTTGGTGTAGAAAATAAACCCTATTCTAATAATTAAGGGAATGTAGCAAAGTAACACATTTCAATAAAATGGATATTTGTTTTTTTATTTTAAATATTTTTATACAGACCGCAAATGTTGCTTGCTCTTAAAGGCACAGTTAAAACTCCATTTTGTAGATAAAATAAAAAATGTGTTCTGTTTCCAGAAAACAAAGCTCTGGCCTTCCAGATGTTGGTGAACTATAACTTCCATTATTCTCTTTCATTCAAAGAATCATGGAACTTGTTGTTTAGCATCGCCTGGAAGGCCAGAGTTTGGAGAACCCTACTTTTTTAACACACAGCTCTTGAAAAATGAAATTAGCAGGTTGCTTTGTTATGAAAATAATGTAACCACCCCCCCTCTTCTTCCCAGCAGGTACCCTCCAGGTGTTGTAAGTGTGGCATCTGCGGGCATTCCGGCAGCAGTAGAAGGAATAGTACCAAATGCCATGCCCCTATCACACGGCCACCCTGCAGTAGCTCACCCACCGCACGCCCCTTCTCCTGGCCAAACAGTCAAACCAGAAGCTGACAGAGACCACCCAAGTGACCAGTTGTAGCCCTTATAAAAGAGAAGCTCTTTCACTGCATCTGCAAACTGAATGCCAGAGATTGTTTGAGAAAGAAGAAAGGAAAAAAATGGAGGAAAATAGCATAATCAGAATTTTGAAGAGCGGCAAAAAAAAAAAAATATAAAAAAATTAAAAAGGAAAAAAAAAATCTGAACTTGCAACGAGACCATGATTTGTTTTTAGAAATTGGTCCAAACATACAATATTATTGGAGAAGAAGAGAGGATTTTGGGAACATTTTGCCCTCCATATAAAAATGTAGTTTGTCCCTGTCCCGTGGACTGATTTCACTGTTCTGTGTCCTATTGGGTCCTTTGTTAAAGCAACAGAAGTTAGTAGTTAATTATATCATGAATGTACTTGTCTGTGTACAGTTTTTAGAACATTTAAAAGGGTTTGTTTGCATAGCTATCAACAGGGGAATAGCATAAGGGAGGCATTCAGCAAACCACTTTTGAGATAACATAAAAAGCTAAAAAAAAAAAAATTTAAAAAAATACAAATATTTTGTTTTATATGTTTAAACATGCCCAATTAAGAAGGCAGTTGGCAGACTTCTCAGGATAATACATTTCCCGTGTTTTCTTTCTAAACCACACAGTGCATTGTTTTTTTTTTGTTTGTTTTTTTTTCTACCTGCTCGTCTTATATATATTTTTTTAACTAATTTAGTTAAAACTATTTTTTTTCTCCTTAATCCCCCACCCTTTTTTTAATTCATTTTTTTTTTTTTAGCATGAATTTATTATTTCAGGTAATCACAATATACCAAGAAATTTTTGAGGAGTATAAGAATTTCTTTTCCAACAAACATTCTGCTTCTTGTCACCAGTTACAAGTATATATTGTTGGTGGTATGCGGGAACTAAAACACTGCTGAAAAGTAGTAACATTTCATTGCCTACATCGATTCCTTCCTGGTAATGTGGTAGGCTAGCAATATTTTTATTTTTATTTTTTTATTTACTTTTTTTTTTTGTTAAAAATCATGTTTGTGAGTGTAACCATTTGTATGAATTATTTTAAAGAAATAAAATTCCCAGGCAAATACTATGCTGTATTATTTCTTTGAATAAAATCTAAATGAATACTATATACATTTTAGTATTATAACAAAATCAGAGCTGTTTATTCGGTAAGCCAGGAATCATGAATTGACAAGGCCATTTAAAGAGACACTCTACTACCCAAATACAATAAAATAAAAATCACTGTTTAGTAGATACAACCTGAATTTTAAACTTGCATGCATGTATTTATGCTTTTTTTTTATAAAATTGGAGGTCTGTCTAAAAACAGCATGCAAAATCTGCAGACTTCTTCTAACCCTGCCCAGACTTTTTGTGACTGACCAATCACTCTCAATGCAGCTCAATGGCAGGTGCCTTTCTCTTTATCTTTCGTTTAGCTCCACTGAGCTAAACTACCAGGAATTAAAAGGACACTATAGTCACCAGAACAACTACAGCTCAATGTAGTTGTTCTGGTGTCTATAGCCTATCCCTACAGGCTTTTTATTGTAAACAAGGGTTAAAATATTGCCCCCCTTTTCGAACAGAAACTGTAGATTCATTTATGATGTGTAATTGTATCTTGAGGCCCCCTAGTGTGGGCACTAAAACAGAACCAGCTGCAGAAAAAATGCACTAGACCAGTGGTTCCCAACCAAGCCCTCAAGTACCCACTACCAGTCCAGAATTTAGGGATTACCCTGTTGTATCTAAAGTGTTTTTTTTTTTTTTTTCTTCTAAAAACGCCTTAGACACAACTGGGTAATCCCTATATCCCAAACTGTTAGGGGGGTACTTGAGGAGTGGGTTGGGAACCACTGTACTAGACCTTTAGACGGCCACCAGATTTTATCTTTCAACTGGACCATGGTCTGATAATTAAGAACTACACCCTTCCAGCCAATGCTTGACAGTATTGTGCACAGTATTTGAGGCTTGTTTGAAATTGCTTAACTGTAGAAAACTACTTGACACTCCTGACGAACAATTTTTTTGTAATGTTGCTACCAGGAGGCTTGGAATGTGGCAATGAAGGCTGCAACCAAAGGCATGGTTTTTAAAACTTCTAAGAATTTCTAAGCCCTTGGTTGTCTTGCTCTGTGAGGAGTGGCATGCCACTTTACAGTTGATTTCTCATGGCCTCTACACATTTCCACTTCACATAAGTTTAAGTTGACCAAGGTAGCTATAGCGGAATTCATTCTGACAAATGGACTTTTATTAGACTCTGTCCCACCTCGGTCCCAGGCCTGGAGCTCTGACTCTTCAGCAGGCAGGGAGATCAAACAAAATCTTCTAGGGTTTTAGGAGCCGGCCCCAACCTGGCACTCTGCCTTGGTGACCTGAAAGGACCACTAAAAGCACAAAAGACCACTTTGTCTCAATGCAGTGGTCTGGTGCAGTAGCCCTGTAGTTTTAATAAAGTTTTGTAGAAGCTGTACCTAAAGTTGCTTCCATAGCAACAGCAGAGTGAAACTCTGTTATGTGAACAAATGCTTCTCTTCAGAGCAGTGCATTTACACCTCATCCTCAATGCTTCTCTGAGGAGCATTGGATTGGAGAAGAAGTCTTCCAGATGATGATGTAGAAGGCAGAAAGTTTTGGAGCTGGAAAAAAGGTAAACACCATGTGCGCGTTTAAGACCTCTGGTTCACTGTTTACCCTGAATCAGGCAACCTCTCTACTAACAACTTTGCAATTTACTGTAACAATTCTTTTCAAGGAAATGGTAATCTCTTCACTAGTGATGTCCTGAACGGTTCGCCGCGGACGGCAAACATATGACCCTGTACCTCACAGTCAGCAGACACATTCCAGCCAATCAGCAGCAGACCCTCCCTCCCAGACCCTCCCACCTCCTGGACAGCATCCATTTTGATGCTGCATTCTTAGTGAGCTGTCCAGGAGTTGGGAGGGTCTGGGAGGGAGGGTCTGCTGCTGATTGGCTGGAATGTGTCTGCGGACTGTGAGGTACAGGGTCATATGTTAGACGTCCGCGGTGAACCGTTCGGGACATCACTACTCTTCACTATTTTATACCCTGGGATTAACCGTGATCTGCCATTTGCACACGCTCTGACCCTGTGTGTGAATTTAACGAAGGCTGCACTGTTCTTAAATATCTTTACATAACCTGACAGATTTCCCATAGTATCCTGTCTTGTAGTGTGTACCATAGTAATTCCCCAAAATATGAGATTGGCTGTGGTCCTAAAACAAAAGTACAAATTGACATCTGGAACACTTGATTGGACTGCTTCAAAAAACACACACACACACACACACACACACACACAAAAAAAAACATTTGACAGGGGTGTAACTAGCACAAAATTGCAAAATTGCCCCCACTCCCCTCCTGTGCTCTTTTTACCCCCACTCCCCTCCTGTTCCCTTCTTTTGTCCCCTCCCATTCTGTGCCACCTTTAGCCCCCCATCCCCCCACCCTCCCTCCACGTGCCTGCTCAGCCTCACCTGAGGCGGGTGGTCTGCAGTAGAGGAGCCTCTGTTTCCTGTACCCAGACTGACGGGAAGCAGTTATATGCTTTCTGTCACCACTTCATGTTGGACCTGATAGAGAAAAAGAGGCTCCTCTACCAGGGCCCTCCTGCTGGCCACTCTACATTCTGTTACCGGCAAGAGGGGAGCGCTGTGCAGTGTGCTCCCCTCCTGACACGGGCACCCCCCTGCCCAACCCTGCCCTTAGTACACCACTTTAAGTTAATTCCATTAACTCCACTGCAACTGGCTATTTCAAACCCTCCCAATAAAAGAAGCGGTGTGCAAATTCTCTATAGTGTGATTCAGGTCCCAACTGAAAAACAAACAAAATATAACCTCCAAAACTCCTCCACAAGTAATATGGCCAGCAATACCCTGAATCTGCCCTTAGGGTCTTTCAAAGAGATCTCTTTTGAAATCTACCCATGCTATGCCCCCTCCTTAACAATTATTACCTATGCAAGCTCCATACACCTTGATACCCTCGGGCATAAATAGTCCATCTCCGTGAATAAGCTACTTTACTTATTCGCTGTTTCTAAGAGTAGCTAAAGGTCAGAAACTTTGTGTTCACGTTAAAAACCAGGAGTTCTCTTCAGGAAGTGAAACTTCTAACCAACTGCAACTATGACATTGTGATACTGTCTGAGAAACAGTCTTATGGGTGACCTTTGCTGGCAGAACCCAATGGACATTAACAGGGTTATTCACTAAATTGTGAAATTTGGGAATTTAAAATTGTCAATTATAGGCCATCTATAATGGAAAAGTTCAGAGTTGGCCAAGTATTTAGTTCAACTGTTTTTGGTCTGAAATTTAAAATTAATTAAAAATTAATTTTAAAATAATTTTTAATGCCTATAAATTAGGACCAATTTTCTGAGATTCTCCTGGCTTAACCTTCTCTCTACTGGGTGGCTATGTTTAAGTCTGAGTTTGTCAGAGCTGCCACTTATTCTTCAGGACCGTGTTCAATTGTTGTCTTAAACTAACTAGAGTGCATATTTCTTAGATTCTCAGTGCTTGAAGCCGGGTTTTATGAATGTGCACAAGCAGTCCGCTATCTATACCTGCTTAGATAAGCAGTGCTTTCAACTAAAGAGCGCTTACTTAAAGATGGCTACTCCCACAGAGCAAAGGTAGATTAGGATATTCACTGAAATTAGGTGTTTGTGTATGCTTTATAAAACAGACTATAATACCTGTAATATTTTATTTCAAATAACACAATATGACCATTTTGCTGTTAGTCCAGAGTACCTGAGCTGGACATATTGCTGTCTTAGATATTTGTACACATTCTTTCTCCTTTGGCCTTAAATTTTAAACTGAATTTGCAGCTACTGCCATTAATTGTGTCCCTCTCCCTTTCATGATATGCATATTAAAATGCAGGAGAGTGTGAGACGCCATGTCTGCTTCACATCCTGACCATCACCAGTATATAAACTAACACGAGCGGGAGAAAATTAATGGTGGCTTTGAGGCATCCACGAGTGTTTATACATACGCACACTGTGTGCGTGTTAGCATATCTCTTCTCTGTTTGTAGTATAGAAAATAACCAAGAATAGCCTTAGCCTTGGAAATGTCTGTATCTGCTCTGAGAGAGTATTCTGGGTGACGCGGCTTTCCTTCCATACAGCACAGTGTGAATGAATTCCTGCACTTTCCCAACCGAACGCTCGACAGGTACGGTTTCTAGGAAACTGAGCCCACACATAGCTATTAATAAATATAACTTCTTTGCCGGCATCATATTGCAATGAAGGAAAGTGGCCAGAACGTACATTTTAATCATTTTCTGCCAGTAGTCATTATCTCATTAAACTACTGCCAGAGGTAAGACTGAGAGTGGTGTTATTCCTCCTTAGGCTTATTGATATCTATATAGTGTGAATAATTGGGAACCATCAAACATTCTGAAACTGTTTATATCATTATGTGTATTCACCAGTGCCAGATCCACCACATATTATTGGACATATTTGCTTTCTTCATGCTGGTGTGCTGCCCTGCAGAATGTGGTATTGGTATGCTGCAAGATGTAAATCAATGTACTAATCAGTTTTTTGGTTGTTTTTTTTAGATCCCTCCTTGGTTAATTAATTTACTTTCTTCCTGTAGCTTCTAAATGCTGCATACTACGGGGTAGTGTTTTTCATGTACTCACCATCTTTATTTAGGAGTAATGTGAGGTAGCGTGTACATTGGTCTCCTCATCTACCCCATAGGTAGCCATGGCTATATTATTAAAGTACTAGAACAACTACACCACACTACAGTAGTTATGGTGACACTGCCGGAAGGGCCCTGGTGCCCCCTCCCCTCCTCCCCCCATGTTAGTAGTCAAACCATTCTTGAACAGCTTGACATCATAACTGTGGTCTGCTGGGAAACATATTAGCAAGAGCTTCCAGTTTTATTGATAACTGAGAGGAGGTAGTGAGTGGATCCCAACAGACCCCTGGTAAGAAGATGAATCTTTCTAAAATGTTTTTTCTCCTTACCATGGAAGTTGCCAGGCCACCATAACCACTACTAATGTAGTGGTTATGGTGTTTGTAATATTCTGTTAACTAAATTGACCCTGCTTATGTAAGATTCCTCTAAATGACTGCATTACCTCTTTCCCTATCGCTGACCTCTCTACAAGCTATAGATGACATTTAGCGCGTTGTTACCATGGTTTTTTCTATAGATATGAGAATATGGAATAGATCAGCATTAATCCACATTTCCTGACATTTGAAAACATTGTGCACAAGATTCTAAGATATATAGTTGCACCAATGACGTTAGTATTCTTTTCTCTCAGAAGTCTAATATGAGAGTGGGGGCAGTGGACCAATGAGTTTAGAATTTTTGCAATTTAAAGAAACAAATGACAAAATAAAGACTTGGCATCACCGTTAAATCATCATGGTTTATTACATGCATTGCAGTTTGTAGTTTAACCCCTTAGTGAACCGAATGTTTTAAAATTTTCTTACCGTTAACCCCTTAAGGACAGAGCTTCAAAAGCTTGTCTTTCACTTAATAACAACAGCAATTTTTGCTGTTTAAGTTCAACTGCAATTTGCATTTTACAAATGTATTGCACCGACACATATTATATACTGGTTTTTAAAGGACAGAAAGGGCTTTGATTTGATGTAACTTGATGTGTGTGTGTGTGTATATATATATATATATATATATACTTATTTATTATTAAAAAAAAAATAGAAAAATGCAAAAAGATATAAAAAATTTGTTTTGTTTTTACAGTTTTTGCAATAATAATGTGTGCACAAATAGTGCAGGTTAAGGAAAGTAATTAAAAATAAATTAATTTAGTTGTTCTGATTTACAGAATATATAATGTGTCTGGGATTTTAAGTTTTTTTTGGTAGTTACAGGTCACAAAGCACAGGGAGTAAAATAAACATTTAATGTGGAGCGATTTTAGAATTTGGTATGTTTGTCTTGTAAGCTTAATAGCCATAAAAGAAAACAAAATTGCCACACAAAAGTTCATATATATAGTAGACATCACAGGCTATTTACCTAAGGTTGTTTTGACACTTTCTACGTAGCCATTTCACCGCCAACCTCTGCTAAATATTGGAGTAAAATTGTGTTTTTTTTTGGTTTTTGGCACACAAACGTATAACAAAGAAATTCTCATGTGTATTTTGTAAAGTTGGTGTGTGCTATTCCTGTACAAAGTTTTATTTTGTGTTCAGTTACATCTGCTGAGTAAAATGACACCCCCATTATATGTCTTTGGCACTATTTCGTGAAGTTAAAGTGCCATATAGGAGGCCTGTTCTTTTCAGTATTCACAGTAGAATTTTGAGAGATGGATTTAATGAGCCTTTGCTTCCATTTGGGGCATTATAACAGTTTGACTGTTCAAAAAAAAACCACAAAGGCCTACCATTTGTAAAAGGAGACACTCCAGGGTATCTCATAAGGTGCATATTGTGCCTTAGCATGCCCCCATTTTTTCACCAATATATGCCAAAATATGTGGTAAAAAATAATTTTGGGCATTTTTTACATACAGATTGCATTTTTGCTGGGCGTTTTGTATATTTCATATGTGCCACTAAGTTCAAACCCCCCAAAGTGAGTTTGCACAGTATATTTAGCAAACCTTATGTGTGCTACCAGTGTATAATACTTCATATGTTGCTCAGCTATGTCGGCTGAGTACAGCAATACCCCCGTATGTACCTTTGCCAGGTATATGTGGACATCGGAGGGGCACATTTGGGACACAGCCATTCCATTTTTTTTCAAACTTAAAATTTTTACGCTGTGCCCCTGTCCCATTTTAGAGTATTTTACTAGCCTATATAATCCAAATACCCCATAAAGCCATACCATTTCTTAAAGAAGACATCCCAGGGTATTTCAAAAGGTATATTTTGAACATTAGCGTGGGATCATTTTTCCGCTAGCTTGTACCAA